AAGCAAATCCCAGAGTAAACAGAGAGCGGAGGAATGAAATGATGACAAGGAGATTGGAAACAAACTGTTGGTCTTTGAGCGCTTGCAGCAGATCATGCATTTGATCTCGATAAGAGAGAGAGAGAGAGAGTGAGCAGAGGAGATCAGGGAGGGAGAAAAAAAGGTGGAAAAAAAAAAGGGTGTGTTTTGTGTAAGCTCAGAAACTGCCAGGCAGTGTACTAGGTGTAGTCGGCGCCGCTTGATGTGGTTTTTCTACACGGCCAAAGGAGGAAGCGGAGAGAGGGAAGAACAAACAGTGTGAAAGTGTGAGAAATCCTGGGAACTGGAGTGAATGGATATCAACACCCGCCACCCGGCAAGGATAGTGTTTTCATTAACATGGGATTTCCAACATCACGTTCTGATTTCAGTGCAGCAAAGAGTACATCCCCGCTTTGCCTCTAAATCCGTCTCCAATGTTAAGCTCACCACGACCCCGCTAAAAGAATCTCGGCTGATTAGCATCTCGGATTTGTTGTTTTGGACGGAGAGAGGCTATGAAACAGAGGATTTATCTCTTTAAACTTGACTTGGAATGTCGAATAAAGCAGGTTGATCTATTCCCTCAAACTCTCGAGAAACATTGAGGGGTTTCGTTTCCACCCTCAGTCTTCAAAGATTCTGTGCCACTGAATTTTTAATATTACCTCAGTTTTTAGAGTAAAAGATCTAATGCCCAATGTCGATAATAAAACCCGACAGGCTGGTCAAAATGAAACAATAAACAAAGCGGTTCTTGTCATATTTTCCACGGCAGTGCAGGAACAGCATCAGGAGTGGCGTAACCTCTGAGTGGGGCTACAAAGGTGTCACATCTGCTGTTGCTGCCAGTTACCAGGGAATATGGCTTATGGAAAAGGCCGCATGCTGTTCACTCATTTAGTTATAAATGCAACAGAGCCAGTTTATTTTACAACGTATAGAAAAAGCATGCAACTAGATTTAATTCACATCATCTGTTGAAACCAAATTTTTACTCTATAAAAAGAAAGAAAGAGGAACTTTTCTTTCTTATTTCCTGACCTTAAATCTTATTCGACTTTTTTTTTTTTCCTTTTTCAACACAGTTAGAGCAACTAATATAATTTTTCTTGGTAAACGCCAGAATAATGAGCTATAATTTTTATTTTATATTCTCCTGCTAAGTTTAGTATGCTTTAGATTATTTGGGAAAGCACAGGTGATGACATCGTGGCTACGTCAGCTTCTGACTCACAACGTCTGAGTTAAAACGAGGCACACCCGCCACCCGGCAAGGACAGCGTTTTCATTGGGTGGGTATTTTAGCGCAACACCTCAAACACACTGCGTCCTTCTGTGGCGATTATAGGTAAAATCCAAAGAAACCAGGGCAAGAAAGCAGGAAGGGAATTGTGGACCTTAACTTCTTGAAAAGTGTGGCTCACTCCTAACATAATTTCCACAAAACATGACGATGCCATTAAAAACTCTACGGCTGTGTCCAACCGAGACACAAAAGAATGTGTTTTTAGAGTGAAATGTGCATTATTCACCCCAAAAATGTGAAGCTGTGTGTATTTGTCTCCAGAGAAATGAGTGCTGAAGTAACACAGCCTGGAAGGCCACTCAGAGAGGAAGAGGGTTTTACTATAAAAGCAGCAGCAAGGGCAGGGTCAATGCAGCTGCTATCAGGAGATTTTGGAGCACTTTGTGCTTCAATCTGCTGAAAAGCTTTATGGAGATGGAGATTTCATTTCTCAGCACGACCTGGCACCTGCTCACAGTGCCAAAACCACTGGTAAATGGTTTACTGGTTTATTGAGCACAGGCCTGCCAACTCTCCCGACCTGAACCGCATAGAGAATCTGTGGGATATTGTGAAGAGAAAGTTGAGAGATGCAAGACCCAAAACTCTGGATGAGCTTAAAGCCGCTATCGAAGCATCCTGGGCCTCCATAACACCTCAGCAGTCCCACAGGCTGATTGCCTCCATGCCACGCCGCACTGAAGGCTGCAAAAGGATTCCTGACCAAGTATTGAATGCATAACTGAACATAATTATTTGAAGGTTAACTTTTTTGGTATTAAAACACATTTCTTTTATTGGTCGGATGAAATATGCTAATTTTTTGAGATAGGAATTTTGGGTTTTCATGAGCTGTACGCCAAAATCATCAGTATTAAAACAATAAAAGACCTGAAATATTTCAGTTGGTGTGCAATGAATCTAAAATATGACAGTTTAATTTTAATCATTACATTATGGAAAATAATGAACTTTATCACAATATGCTAATTTTTTTTGAGAAGGACCTGTAGTCAATATTGTGGAGACGTCATCTCTGACCCAAATTTAAAAATCTGGTTTAGTTACACCAGTTCTGTCAGGACAAATGGGCCACTCAGCAAGGAAGAAGCCATTACTTCATAAGCAACTTTAAAAAAGATAAATCACAGTGTTTGTTCGGGATGATTATCGGCAGAGTAAAAATGTAGGAAACTTGAAGGGCTGTAAACACCATCCAAGTTTGAGTCTACCATGCCAACTGGGAGGAAAACGGGTGGCAGCGTAATTCTTTTCACAAAAATAAGATGTCACTGTGACGAGGAACGACAAGCAGAAAAACTGAATAAACATTTCAAGAATGCAGTGTCAATGGGAAAACAAATGGAATATAGATAATTTATGATTTACGACAGGTAAATCTACAGCAACAAAATGGCCATAAAGCAAAACCTAAAAAAAAGACGAGGAACTACAGGAAACAAGGAGATTTTTGTCCCAAGTGTCTTTGACTTTCAGCTTTTTTTTTTCCCCTTTTTGTCTCTGTCCTACTTTCACGCTCTCACATATCCACTGTGCCAACAACACAGCAACCAAATTATTAGGACAAACAAAAACTCTGGAACAGGTGCCAACATCTACGCTCCGCGTTTCCCCCCTGTGGCTGTTTTCCAATTAGATAAAAAAAAAGGCTTAGCAGGTAGACTCGAGGTTTTGTCTCCTGAGAACGCCCTCGGTGCTGGCCAGGTTTCCTTAATTCATTGTGCCGCAGTCACTGTAATCTGCACACTTGGATAACATAATGACATTACAAGATTTCTAATCCAACAACGACGGCATTATCGAGTTTCAAACAAAAAGAAAAATCGATTAGTAGACCGTGCAAATAGAAAGGCACTTGGACACAAAGAATCAAGCGATGGGATTTTGGTTAAATATTAAAAATCAGTGATGACCAGCGACGTATAAAGCTTAGAGGGTTTGCTCAACACAGCTCTGTAAGCAAGCAGAGGTCTTCATTACAAACCCAGAAGATATGAAACATCCTCTCAAAGGAACACACATTGTCAGCATGTCTCAATTACAGCCTGAATTCTTTGCTTAAGAAACACGAGGGGATCAGCGCGTAAACCGATGCTTGTTTGTGTTTTTACTCCCAGAAATGTCTGCAAGCATTTACAGGCAAAAAAAAAAAAAAAAAAGCACACAACTATGTAATATGTTACAGTAAATATGTTTAGGAAACTACAAGAACGCCAACTTTACAGGCAAGCTTTTGCCCGGCTCATCCGTTCCCACTAAACAGGACCTGCTGTTTTGAGTGCGTGTGTGTGTGTCTGTGTGTGTGTGTGTGTGTGTGTGTGATTGGCCAGGCGGCAGAGCTCTCTCAGGTTACATCCACACAGGAAGGCTAAGAGCAATAACAAAGGCCTTTCAAAGGAACCCTCAGCAGGTTAAGATAAAATGTTTTAGCTCCAACTGATAAAAAGCATCTGCGGCTTAAATGAGCAGGGGCTGGTATCAGCGCGCAGGTATGTACAGATTGAAACAGACAACAGATTCTCTCTCCCCCGGGTGGAAAACACACACACACACACACACACACACAGACCTGGAAGAGGGTGTGTGAATGTGTCTGGATTGGTACCGACAGACCCACCTGTGAAGCTGGTGCTTTCTCTCCAGGTCCGCTAATGAGAACTGATTGTGCTTTCAGTCTGTTACATGATGTTCTAAACACACCGACACTTCAACAACAAACAATCATAAAATACTGCAAACTTATTATTTACTGCACATCTGCTAAATCACAGAATTACATTCATCTGGTTAACTATTTTTTTCGTCGAGATTTTTTTTAAATTTATTTCTTTAAGGTAAGCACAATCCAAAACGGCAAAGAATGCACTTTTGCAATTATTTGAGATGCACCAATCAATTCGCCAGAAAGGAATTGGCCACCTTGAACGGTTCTGGCCAGAGATTGACAGGTTAAATGGCTCGTAATCAGGTTTGTTTCATCTCACTTTCACTTTCCCTCTCCCATGTAGAAGTGGCGATCTATAAACACGTCAGCCAACAGCTCTGCTGCGCTCGCTAACTTAAAAACAAAGCAGATATGAATCTAGAAGACCTTTTGATGCATAAAAAGGTGATAATGCTGTCATACCTTCATTTTCTAGCACCTCTATCAAAGAACCAGCAGCGTTTTACTTCTCTTTCAAGATTACATGTCTTAAAAAAAGAACAAAACAAAATTATAATCAGTCAAGATCTGAATTGGTAGTCTTGACTTCAAAGAAACACAAATCTGCATCACGGATGAAAAGCCCATTGGTGCATTTCTAAATAACATATTATTTTACTTTAAAAACAGCTGAGCCAACGAAAGCACGGGGTGCTTTTATTCTTGTTTAACTTTGCAAACTCTGACTCTCATATTTATGACGTGCAGGTTTCATTTCTCATGCAGAGTTAGACATTTTGTTTTATTTTAGCGGTCTCCTCTGTGGTCTGCGCTCGGATAAAATGGCTGCTTCGCTCAAACAAGAACCGGAGTCTACCGCAGTTTAACTAGTATCGCGAAGTACTTGTGTCTTTTGTATACTTCTATCCTCCCTGAGCACCGCAGCAGCGACACGTACGTAAACTTCAGGGACAGAAATTCAGAGGAGAAACTTAAAAGACGCCTTGGCGCCACATCTCTGACTCCTACCTGGAAGCCCTGGATGTGAGCCAGGTAGTCCAGCTGCTGTGCCGGCTGCACAGAAACACTGCAGGCCAGGTTCTTCCCCTTTACGGGCAGCGACCCGTCCGCTGGAGGTGACTGCCCGTTAAGCAGCAGCTCTCTGGCCATGGTAGCAGTGGGGCTGGGCGAGGAAGACGAGCCGCTGTAATACGGAGAATGTCCTGGGGGCAGAGGGGCAGTGCAGGACCCCGCGTCTTTGGATGCAACGTAATTGACGGACCCTCCGGTGGCGCTGCCGCCGCCGCTGCTGCCGGTGACTGGTGCGCTGCCACTCTGCTTCCTGCTGGCTTCCATCTCCTGGTAGACGTCGGGGCTGAGGTGGAGCAGACCCTTCTGGGCTGGAGGAATGAAATCGAATAAGAACAATTGTAAATATAACAACTGCATGGATTGACAACAGTGGTCAAAAAGATCTGTACCAAAAGGAAGGAACAATACCGTGAAAACGTGTACTGTTCACACAGATAAAATACATTAGACTTTTTTTCTTGAAAAATTTTGATTTTTCTTTCAAAATTCTTTAGCAACAGCTTTAAAATCCAGGCTATCTGATGGGATATTGCTCATTCGCATTACTACATTGTTTGTTTATATTTTATTTGACCGCAGAAGAGATTAAAAAACACATGGTGGCTTCAAGGTAGCATAGCACGTCTGAGACAAGACAATAAAAAAAAAGAAGAGAAAGACAAAGACAATGTGTCAACAATAAAAATGTCATATTTTAAGAAACTCCACTTATTACTCTGTACATAAAACCCCACTTTTGTGTCTACCGTCCTTATTGAGTTGACTCATTTCACCAACCAAGTGTTTAACAGTGATTTTCCAATTCTTCCCAGAACAAATGTATATCACTGAGATTTTGATCGCTGGCTGTTTGTTTCAGAGCATCACTCATTTATTCTGTCTGCAAGCCTAAGTGCGGAAGGAAACTGGACTTCTACTTAGGATCGTCCTGCTGTGGATGACTGAGAATCAACACCAACATTCAGTGTGCAGCGAAACACAAGTCAAAGCGAACGCAACACTTCACTGCTTTGCTTCTGTTTGACTTTATAATGACAATCTAAATATTTCTTGACTTGCTGTTGTGCAGAACTACTCAATAAGACGGCAAACTTGGTTCTTGTAGCTTTTATCGTTACGAATGTGTTGAAGTCACGTCTAAACAGATTCCTCAGTCGCTCGGTCGTAAACAGACCCACGGCTACTCAGCTAGCGCTGTGAAAAATGTTTGCATCTAGAAAAAAAAACGCCTTAGATCTGCTAACAACGTGGGTGGAAGCTAAATATAGATCTTTCAAGTCATACTTTGTGAACAAAAAATGCTCAAAAAATATAATGTTTTTATATTCTGTGCTTATTTTGTCCATAGTGAAAAACAAAAACATAAGAACAATAGGCTCAGAATCTAAAAGTAAAAAAATCTAGAGGTCAGAAAATTGCCCTGTTTTGATTTTAGATTGTGCATAATTTAAAAAAGATTCGACAAAAGGTTGGACGAAAATTGTATTTTACTGCCAAAACCAAAAAGAAAATGTCATAACATAAATGAATAATAACCTCTTAAAAAACAGGATTTAGAAATAAAGTCCATGGACAACTGCATGTTGTCAGAAAAAGTCGGCTGCGTTTTGAGATACAATTATTTGGACTCATCACTAAAAAGTCAATTTGTTGAACTCAGAGTAAAAGGGGCAGAAATTTTAGATCCTCATTTCTATCACAGTTGACATTCTGGTATTACATCAGCAGGTCTAAGCTCCATTAATGTATCTTTAGACTTTTACATCAGGTTGACTGCTAAAGCCTCTTTCTCTCTCACTCTCAAACACAAACAGAGACAGAAACAGAGCGTCCACCGATATCAACAGGCCGTCAGTGACTTCATCCCTGATGAGAAACAGCAGTATCAGCTGTCCCACTTTCAACACTCCGTCAATCCCAGAGACCCAACAGAACCTTGATGAATTCTTCTTAAGAAACATTCAGAGCCATTCAGATACAGGAAAACGAAGCCCTTTACTGTCTGCAAAGCTTTCCGTTAAATAGGAGCTCTGCCACAACTCGCCGAACTAAAGGAGTTTTCTTTATCCAGTTTGGAAACTATTTTACGTTGGTCAGTGATAACACTGTCAAGGGATAGTCATGAAAGACCGAAGGAGGACACAACCTAGAGTTTAATGCTTCCACCGAAGCTGTGAGCTCGAAAGACAAACATGTGAGGCATGTCAAAGGCAGAAGACAGCAGGCAAGGATGTGCTTGTGAGGTAGTTACGATAAAAGAGGATGTGAGGATGAGTGGATGCTAAAACCCCGCGAGGAGCCCGTCCAAGGTCAGCAGAGACAGGAAGACCAGCTGTCTTTGAGTCTGCGTGTCTGTCTGAGGGCTTGTTTCTGCGTGTGCGCGCACGTACGCGTGCGTGTGTGTATGTGTATGTGTGAAGTGTGTGTGTGGAGTAACAGCTGGGAGAAAGTGCTGGAGCGAGCGCCATGACTGACAGGCCACTTCCTGTTTCAGTTAACATTTACCATCCACCGCACAACGGCAGAGATTTGCACACTTGTAGTAAAATCATGTCTAAGGTTTCTGGGAACGCGCTGACAGCGATTCCCATTCCGAGCACAAAGAGTGGCTGGCTCTCGTTCCGAAAAAAAAAAAAAAAAAAAGAGAAGAAAACGAAATCCAAGGCTTATTACTCATGCTACAACAAACTGCCCCATCGCCAACCGTGACACAACTTCGAGGATGTTTCTCCCTCCTTTCCCAGGTCATGTTCATGGCTGGAATTTAAATTTGATCGAAAGCTGCACGATGGACGCGGTGGAATAAAATAACAGAAGTCATCCAGCATGACATCAGAATACCGACGGAGGAGTGTGCAATGTGAGGACGACTGCATGTGACTGAGTACTCGAAGCTGATGTCAGATGGTGAGCGTGAGAAGCAAGACAAAGAAACACAGCCAGAGCGAGCGAATAAGCAAGAGTGACGGAGTTTATTTTTGCGTGATGTTGAGACAGCGGTTGTGAAATTTTGTGCACGAAGCAAGAGCGAGTTAGGGAAAGTGGGGTTGGAGGAAGGGGATGGGAGGGGGGGGGGGGAACAAGCCAAGGCTGAGAAGAGGAGAGGGGGATAAAAGAGCAAGAGAGAGAGAGAGAGAGAGAGAGCTGTGTTGTTCCTGAGGGGGTCCCACCCAGACTCAGTGTCCGGTGGGCCAGGGGAGTGCTGGAAGGAAGCCAGAGCCGAGCATGAGACTGATCGAAAACAGATAAGGCCGGAGCCCGCCGCTATAAATCACCAGTGTGGAGCAAGACCTTTACATAGTTCACGCATGCACACAACGCACACAAACACACATACGGGCGGCAGGAAATGAATTGTGGCAACTCAAGTGAAAAGCCCTGCTGCAGCACCCCTGGGAATAAAAGGGAGAAAAATCACTCTTCTTACTTCGTTTTCTTCTGCTTTCTTTTTACGCTCCCTTCCTGTCTTTAAGCCACCCTGTTTGCTGGAGCTGCGTCTTCCGCGGATCACGCGAAGACGCGGTCAAAGGACAGACACGCACACGCGCACACACACACACAGTCTGGAATAAAGGTTGTGAGTGGCCGCGATGTATGTGTGTGTGTGTGTGTGAGAAAGCACTAAAGATACAACAGTAAATGAGCCGCTCATGACACATTCACTGTCCCTCCCCAACTAAATTAGAGGAGAGGAGTTGTGGATGTACTCCATAAATCTTGCGTTGTCTCTCATGGTGAGACACTGTGGTGGTAGCATCATGCTGCGGGGATGCTGTTGTTTCGGTTGGAGTTTCTATCTTATCCTCCATGACAGCAAACCGATAATGAGATGGAATTGGGTATATTTTGCAGCCCTAGCAGAGCAACAAAAGGTGTTCCTGCAAATGACTGAATCAAGACAAATGTACGCCACATGTTTTGGCTTTTTAATAGTAAAGAAAATGGAAAAGCAATACATTGAAATTATAAGTTGCAATGACAAAATCTGAAAAGTATAGGGTGTTCAAGGCAATGTATATTTGCAGAAGTCCTTTATTTATAACTGCTACATTAAAAAGACTATCAAAAGTCAGGATTTATATATATATATATATATATATATAAACTGTTATTGCATTTCTTTGCAAATATTGAAAAAAGAAAATCAGATTAAATCAATGCTAATCCGGTGTGGTTATGTGAGGTTTTATTGCGGGTTCTCTACAATGACTTCGGCGCTACAATGGTTTATTGCCTTTCTGCTGCCAAGTTTGTGTTTTGCTAGTTTCATTGTGATCACTTTTTCAAAGTTAATCAGCCCTAAAATTGTATTATTAGCCCAGTTTGTTCTGCAAGATTTTCTAATGGGCACTATTGTTTATGCCTGGGAAAACCAAATTAATGACGACAGCAAAGATATTTCACCGTGTTTCCACTGCAATAATGAACCAGAAATAGACCGGAGGGGGAAAAAAAAATTAGTCTAACAACTGAACTGTTGCTGTCAGGGATGATTAAGTCAGAAAATAAGAGTGAAAATGAAAATGATTCGCACAGACTCGACTCCCAGATTCACATTTCCAAGCGTAACTACTTGTAGAGGGCCCAGCAGTTTTGACAAATTGCCGAGCCGGAGCACAAAACAGTGTGCCAACACAGTGCCAAGAAGATAAGAAATCAGCAATGACTTTAGAGAAGCAGTTATGGCTGAAGTTTCGAAACGATTTGAAGCTCGACATTTTACTGCGAGCAAAGATTATCCACAAGTAAAGACACTTTTTTAAGACAGTTTGCAGTCAACACAGGAAGATCTGCTCAACGACCTGAAGAGAGCTGAGACCATAGTCCTACAGGTTGCCATAGTAACACACTACATAACCATTGATTAAAATCCTGCAGTGTGTAGGACGACTGCATTGTACTGAGGGGAGCATCATGAGATTTTGTGCAGCAACTTCCTTCCTTCAGCGAGAGCACTGAAGACGAGTCGTGGCGCGGTCGTTCAGCACGACGACGACCCGAAACGCACAGCAAGGGGTCCCGTACTACCTCAGCCTTCGGAGGAAAGCTTATTTTTTAGAGGAATGAAAACATGGAACTCACTTCTGTCAGCTGTTATAAACGTAACAAATGCCCCGCTAAAATATTTTAGTACTTAGTGTTATAATAGTGAAAATGTGTTGTTTCCAATATAACTTCATTATTTTATTACATAAAGTGCATTTATGAAATCATATGTTATGTTTCCAATATTATGTTAGGCGTGTTTAACTGTTTTTGCAGCACATATATATATATATATATATATATATATATATATATATATATAATTTTTTTTTTATGATGTGGACCCCAGGAAGAGTAGCCGTTATTATGGGGGTCCAGATAAACAAACAAACCTGAAACTCTGTTGGCTATCATCAAATACTTATTTCATGCAATAAAATAAATTATTTAAAAATATACAATGTGGATTTATGGATTTTATATTAGATTCTGTCTCTCATATTTGAGATGTACCTATGATGAAAATTACAAACCTCTCCATTCTTTGTAAGTGTGAATACTTGAGAAATTGATGGTGTATCAAATACTTATTTCCCACGGCTGCACAATGTGCACTTTGCTTCTGCCACAGCTACTTTACTGTTATCAATAAAGAGTATTTACATTTGTTAAGAAATGCACCTATAAATCCAATTTTTGGCATTTGGGTGTAAAAGCTGCAAAGTCCCCTTCTCAGCCAAGTCTGTTACAACACTTTTTAACCAAAATGTGTTCAGCCAATCAGCACAGAGGACGAAATCAGAAACATCTTCCATTCACCAACTGCAGGCACACACAGAAAACCGAGACCAGCTGTATTTGTTTGAATGAGTTGTAAATGGTGTTTATGCAAAAACATTATCCAGACATTAGCGTCATGTGAGTGTTGTGCGGATCGGGCGTTTTTAAGAGCTGATTAGCAGATAGTTAAGCCTCATGCACGGTGCGCGAGATAAACCGAGAATGGCAGCGGACCAGCGGCGCATTCAATGCCAACAGCAGAAATGGTCTCCAAATAAGGAAGACATTTCCCCAGGGAGCTCAACTCTGGAGGTATTGGGCAACTCCTGCATCCTGAGTTACCATAGAAACCACAAACACTGAAACACTTCATCCGAGAGCATAATCATCAATCTGTAAACATGAAGATGATGCATCTTTCACAAGATTGGACTAAATTAAGGCACCAGGGTGGTATGGGGAGAGGTTCATGTTCTCATCCAAATTCTGTATTTCAAATCTAAAAAAAAAAAATAGAATCAATGTGCAGAATTGTTTTTAAGAGTCTGTAAGATAAAATAAATTCTATTCTCAAAGGTAATATTGGATGTACTATGTCAAAGGACAGCAGAAAGCTTACATTTGAACAACGTGTTTTCAGCCTCTCAGCTTCTTTCTAAGCTCCTGGCATTAACTTTGTTGGTATCATAGTAAAAATGTCAGGACCTTTTATCAGCTGGGGACGTCACAACCTATCAGACTCAGTGCATAGCAGGCTAATTTAGCACACTGGGTGATGTAGGACACTGACTATTTTCGTATAAAGTGTTTCACCTTCAACAAATCTGACATTCTCCACTAGACAATGCCCAGCTTGGACTACAACTACAACAAAAAACACGAAATGGGAAACCAAGAAATAAAATGATAGGTTTTTAAATGATATTTTCTTAAAAACATACAGATGAGGGGTGGGGGGGACAGCCGTTTCTACAAAACAGCATCTCTTTCATTTCCTTTTAAGAGTATTTGAGTCCAACTCCCCTCAAATTATACAATTTTACTCTGGGACTTTACATACCTAAGTAAATTACAACATTATTGAATTATTTTGTGCAAAAAAAAAAACAAAAATTAAAAATCTACATACATTTATTTCAATAATGTTTGTCTTATATTGCATCTGTGTTAATTTATCAACAGCAAGCTAATGTTTTAGCTAAATTTAATGTGAAAAAGCTGAAGCTATGAAGATATTAGCCCACTGGATTTGGAAATATTGCATAATGTAAGTTGCTTATTGAAGCAAATCAAAAACATACTGACAACAATGATATCTGCATACCGTTACAGCCTTAATGTTTACTGTTTAATGCCGACGGCCCCCCGTTCTACTAATCAGAGGAAGTTAATCTGGTGCTAAGGTTACAAGCACAACATTAGATCAGGATGTCTATGGGAATGGTTTGTTTTTATTATTTTAAAAAACATACAGGGGCGTAGACTTTTAATTTAAGAACAAGATTATTATCACCCCTGGCTGTTGTGTTGCTCTCCCACAAATCTCAGCTCATCCAAAATAAAGTCTTGCTTGTTTACAAAGCTGCTCTGCTAAACTGAGCAGATAAAATGCCCCTTTTTGGAAGAAGAAGAAGAAGAAGAAAAAAACAATTAATGTTAAGATATTTTTACAATTATTCTAAAATAAGGCAGCTAGAGTATTACCAGGTAGCTCTAAAATAAATTATAAAACGCCTCCATATGTTTTAATCTAGTACTGACATTAAATTTTTACTACTTATCAAACCTTTATTGGCAATGCTGCACCCTAAGGTAGCTATTTTAATATCCTCTGTAATTCCAAATCAATCATTTGCTTTGAATATGCAGGCTTACTGAAACGTGTGGTCCAGAACTGGAGGCAGTCTTCAGTAGCATTGATCAAATGTTACTGTTATTTTATTTTATTTTTTTTTACTCAGTAACCATATGTGCTTATAACTTCAACATGCCTTAATTTTCTTTAGTATATTTTTAACTTCTATCGACCGTCTTATTAAGGTTTTTATCACCATTTATAAACGGATTATAAAAGTTTTAATGTTCTTGCGTCTGGTTTTACTGCCCATGTCATGTAGAGCTTCAGGTATGTTGTTGCTTGAGCGGTGCTTTATGAGAAACAGTTGAGCTGATTCTCAGAGAGTAAGACTCAATACCCCGAAGGATAAAAATGTGTATTTTGGTCCTGATGATGACTAACAGAATTCAGTCAGGATTTTTTTTTTTTTTTTTTTTAAAAAATGTGTAAAACAAAGTAAACACAGCTTTAAGATTCAAAGTGTGGTTAGAAGGTCGCGTTACTGCAAAAGCTAAATCGAAATACTGGCTAGTACTGATAAATAAGCATTCTATATACACTATATTTTCACCCAATCTGGTGTATATGACTTTGTTTTATGGCTACAGGTATAGACAGTTAATCATCTAGAAAAGCAGACTGCTTGTGCAAACATTTACAAACAAATAGGTCGGCCACTGAATTCTAGACGGGCCTCATATGAGGACACCACGCGTGCAAAACTGACGCCGTCATAGCAGCAAAGCGATGCCAGACTAGTTTTATATGAGTGAGAAAGGCACACAGTCAGAACACATTTGACAATCTACTGTACCTAAAATAGAAAAAAAAAATAAACTGATTCCTTTTTTTTTTTTTAAGGATGCACCTTATTTCTTTCTTTCTTTTTTTTTTTTTAATGTAGCCAAAACACGGTTTAGCATTCTAGACAAAACAGAATATCTTTGAACAGAACATCCCATGTGATATTCAGGTCAACAGATGTCAAATAGTTTTGGCATAAAATGTTCACAAACAGACAGAAAGAGGAATAAAAGATGCCAAAGGTGAGTTCAAGACGCTTAAACCCTAAACCTAAACATTGTAAACCAATGTTCATACATTCTGCCTCAGGTGCATAATACATTAATAACATCCTGTGATTCATCTTTGTCCATAAGAACTCTTATTTTATATGAACATGCTCGTTTTGTGTCTGTTTAGTGGGATGAACAACGTGTGTGTGTGTGTGTGTTTGTGCACCTCTGTGTGCTTGTGTGTTAATCCTGACTGAAAGGCTGCGTTTTTTTGCTCAGGAAGGTAGCGGAGGGACTCCCCGGAGGGCCCCCGTGTGTTGGCCCTGTAAGCCCGTGTGAATGAGCCTGAATTCGCAGGCTCCCCACGAGGACGCACGGCCAATTAAGCTGACAGTCAGAGGCCCATTGACCAGTCACAGAGATTAAACGCCGGGCCATCTCGGTGGCTAAAACCACCTGCGAGATCGGAGGGGGTTTTGGAAAGCCTGAGAGGAGGAGGAGAAGGAAATGGCAATAGACACAGGGAGACGTGCCGATACTCACTGTTACTCGTTGCTTCGGTAAAAGGCGCCTTTTGTCCGTTCCAGCCTTTGTTGTCCATCTGTGGAGATGGAGAGAGAAGCAGAGAAGGGGGTCGGGGGGGAGAGGAGGAGAGGTAAGAGAGATGTCGATTCTTGAACAGACAGCTTCTTCACGCATGTCAGACAAGTTCCTTCCTACTGTTTGGTCCACAAAGAGACAAACGCTCACAAGACGGGGTGCCTATGGAGACTACTGTCTCTCTAAGCCAGCTACTTATTTAGAGGGTGTGTGTGTGTGTGTGTCACTGTTTAGCAACTTGAAAAAGGGTTCCTTCTACTGCAGCGGTAAGCCTATCTGCCTGCACAAACACAAACAGCCACAAGTAGGTGTTTGAAACAGAAACAAATTCTTCCTGATGCGGGCAACAGCTGAAGAGATGTCATGGCTGTAAACAAATCCAGCCCACTGCCTCTGAGCAGCCCTCTACAGATCCCTCAGTGGGAGCGGAGAACAAAAAAAGCTCTCAGGGGACGGAGGGAAAAGATGAGGCAAGATGGAGGGTGATCACAGCAGAGATGAGCTCTTCTACAAAAGCTGCAGGCCTCAAGGGCATCTGAAGACTTAGGGAAAGTAGATCAGCCAACAAATTCCTAGAATGAAGTCTGAGAGACCAGAGGCTATTAAATATATTCTATTTTACCATTATTTATTTAATTTAGAATAGACATTCTTTCTCAAAGAAAACAACATATTTTTGACTTTTTGTAATAAATCGAGTTAAAAAAAAAAAAAATCCAATAAGACATAACATCAGGAAAAAAAACAAAAAAAAACTGAGAAGCAACACAGAGGCTTGATTGGATTTTTTTTTTTGTTCCTGAAGTTATTATTGAACCATTTTGCGAAATTACAAATGACATTTCCTTGTTGAAAGAGACGGCAATCATCAGTGGTGCAAGTCGGCGGATAAGCGGAAAGCGTGAAAAGCAAGAGTCTGTGGTTCATCAACATTGATAAAAGTCGTCCCAATATTCCAGTATGCTTACCTCCTGCTCCAATTCCAGCCCAGTCCCAGATATGCAGTGCAACATGCGTCTGGTTGTACAGCACAAGCATGGAATTGACTGTAAACTACACTACAAACTACAAATTAAGCACTTAATTTTGAGGAAAAAAAGGTCATGGAACAGTCATTTTTCTCCTTTTAAGAAAACAGATAGTACCGTAATTGTCCCTAAAAAAAAATCGCCTAACCATAAAATAAATCTATGTGAAATATTTGATTTTGACTTTTGTGAGTTGATCAGAAAGTCTGCAAACTCCAGAGGATATCAAAAAAGTAATTTGTCACTTCCTGTTCACTCGTGCATAAATACAACTCGACAGAGAGACGCAATTCTCCCTCATCAGGGCAATAAATAAAAAAAAAGTGTTTTTTCTGGGCCCGTGCTTCTTCCCGAGCTCCTAAAAAAATTGGAGCGCATGTATTTTTTTAACATGTTCTCAATGATTTGCGAATAAATGAAATCAATCGGGTCAACGTGACCTGATTGAGTTACTGCAATAAGCTGGGATCCACTGCATGTTCAGAAACCTCCAAAATTAGTGTTTCATACAACCTGAACCTTGTTGCTGTATCTCCAATCACATGAGAATGGGAACAGCGATTGTAGATACGATTTTCTTTGTCCATCAGATCAACATCAGACAGAATGTTAATTTTCTCTCTTAAACAACAGCATACACCCAACCATGCTTTTTTTTTTTAAACAGGAGAATACTTCCTCCCCCACCCCCTACACCTGCTGGTGATCACAATGTTGCTGTTCTTCTTCGGCGATGTCTGGAGGACAATTAAAATTCAACAGAAAGCTCGGTTACGCAACACATCCCCTATCGGATTCGGCTCTCTCAAGCTTAAAAACCGACGAGCCGCATAGAGATGAGGGTGATCGATGGTCGCTTGCAAAACACCTGGTTCAGAGGAGCTGAAGGTGTTATGTAATAGGGTTAGCAGCACTGAGACCAGCGATAAATCAGGGGAGTCGACTCAGTGTTGGTATGTCTACACTTCACTGAAGAAATAAGACCTAATAAAAATGTTTACAGCTCAAATGTGGTTTGAAATAAATCTGATATCTCTTTGTATATACTTGAGTCTTTGATGGAATTTAAACAAGAGTTACTACATATTATTAATGTGAAGATGTTATACTGTTGCAGATTGAAATGTCAAGAGTTTCCAGACCTTTTTTTTTTTTTTTTTTTTTTACGTTTTCATAAGAACCTTTTGGCAGATAATATTTCTATAGAGATAAACACGTTATCTGCAAAAGAGGATGGACAAAATGCTAGTTGAAGTGGGGAAAATCCTCAAAACAAATTCCGTAGTTTTCCTGACATTTCCCCCAAACAGTGTAGGAGCGTTTCTCGTTATCCATCAAAAGTCATCATGAGTCCCCAGACTTTAGCCGTGTTTCTCAGCGAGCTGATGACAGTTTAAAAGTTTGAAGGACGCCTGCTTACAGTAATCCCACGCTGGAATAAATAAATGGTTCCACTTAACAACAGAGGAGGGGGGAGAGGGGGGGAGGTTTGTATATAGATCGAAAATGAAATACAGAAGTTGCAGTTGGGTTGGGTTCGTACCTCTGAGGGATTCGGAGAGACCGTGGAGGCCTTGTATCCCAGCTGCAGCAGCATTGCCTCAGCGGCGTTCCGCTTGGCCACCTTCTTGTTGGGTCCCGTTCCCGTGGCAACCTCGTTATTCACCTTCACCTGCACGGGCGCGCACATGAACAGGCAAACAATGAGGGGAAAAAAAAGTCACAACTGAGTATTATTGGGGCAACATGCTGTTTTCACTGGTGACTTTCTTAGCTTTGCTCCTGAGCCGAAACTGAATGGAGGCTCAGGACTCGGGCTTCCTGAGCCAAGTCAGCCATCCAACGTGAAGTGTTTGTTTTTCAGTAATCCCAAAGCATTAAATCTGTCCACGCAGAATGTAAGCAGAAATTTCCAAGAGCAGATCGGACGTCGTTGTGTTATACAAACAGACAATTACGCTGTACAAATAACATTGTGGGGAGCCGGAGCCTGTGAAAAAGCCAGGCCTCGGCGCACTCATTCACAGCGGCCTGACAAGCCCGAGTGCTGCTCCGGACGCATGAAGCCGGCAAACGACATCACAGTGGGAGCAAATAGCCAACTCCCGGCCAGATTCACTCCTTTATTAAGCATTAACTACAGATAAGCACCTCAAAGCCATTTGATATAAGGTGGAGGCTTTTTTTTTCCTTCTGTTTAAACAAAAGATGGGAAAACAGAGGCTCATTTGAGCCCTGCTGCCTACCGAGGGAAACAATGTGGAAATTTTAGAAGAGTGAGTGGACTACACAAAAGAACGCCACGCACACATACATACATACACTCACAAGCGAGCACACACACACACACACACACACACACACAGGGGCTAATGTGTGCATCAAAGAGGCAGAGAGAATGGGTGTGGGGCTGAATTACTGCCTGATGGTGAGAGAAGCTCTGTTCTTCATATAAAAGAGGAGGATTACGGATAGAAAGACAAGGAGAGCAAGTTTGACTGAGATGGACAGAAGGATGAATAGGTGCAAAAAAAAAAAAATCCAGATGATAAAAATGGACTACATTATGCCATGTGCTGGTTATATTTCTTATTCAAGCGACACAATAAAGACCTATGCGGCTCATGAGGGATGTCCTATGTGGCGACAGAAACAGAGTGGCAGCAGCTTTAAAATGAAGCCACTCTGAACATCTGTCAACAAGCGACAAGCTGAAGGATGTCGAGCGTACAGATGCCGAAAGGGCTGGAGCTCACTGGCTGCTTTTCAGCTTTGTTGTGCAAACTTGAAGCGTCTGTGTTTTTCAGTCACATCCTTAACTCAGTAAAATGATGCTCATCAGGAATGTGTTGCTAAGTTCAATATCTTACTCAGATGATGTTCAACAGCCTCAGTAGGATCACCTATTCCAGGTTAAACCTGGATTTACTGTGAATCTTTTAATACTTCACTGTCAGTGACTCTCAAATATGCCCTCACAATAATTTTCCTATCTAACCGACACCAGAAAAGAAGTGGAAAAGAAACTAAGAACACACAGTTTGGCTTTAAAAAAAAAAAAAAAAAAAAAAAAAAAAATAAATATATTTATATATTTTTATATATATATATTTTTAAATTTATTTTTTT